GAGGTGTTTAAAAAATTAGTCATCGGACTACCGAGGACTACAAGGAAGACCCTCGGCCTACCGAGGTGTTCAAAAAATTAGTCCTCGGACTACCAAGGACTACAAAGAAGTTTCCTCGGCCTACCGAGGTGTTTAAAAAATTAGTCCTCGGACTACCGAGGACTACAAGGAAGACCCTCAGCCTACCGAGGTGTTATAAAAATTAGTCCTCGGACTACCAAGGACTACAAAGAAGTTTCCTCGGCCTACCGAGGTGTTTAAAAAATTAGTCCTCGGACCACCGGGGACTACAAAGAAGACCCTCAGCCAACCGAGGTGTTTAAAAAATTAGTCCTCGGACTACCGGGGATACGAAGGAGATCCTTAGCCTACCAAGGTGTTTAAAAAGTTAGTTCTCAGACCACCGAGTCTCCAAAGAAGCTCCTGGCCTACCGAGGTGTCCAAAAAATTAGTCCTCGGACTACTGAGGTCTACGACGAAGCTCCTTGGCCTACTAAAGTGTTCAAAAAATTAGTCCTCGGACCACCGAGGCCTCGAAAGAAGCACCTTGGCCTACCGAGGTATCCAAAAAATTAGTCCTCGGAACCAAGGAGATCCTTGGCCTACCAAGGTGTTCAAAAAATTAGTCCTCGGACCACCGAGGTCTCTAAAGAAGCTCCTCAGCCTACCGAGGTGTCCAAAAAATTAGTCCTCGGACTACCGAGGTCTACGACGAAGCTCCTTGGCCTACCAAGGTGTTCAAAATATTAGTCCTCGGACCACCGAGGTCTCCAAAGAAGCTCCTCGGCCTACCGAGGTGTTCAAAAAATTAGTCCTCGGACTACCGAGGTCTACAAAGAAGCTCCTCGGCATACCGAGATGTTCAACAAATTAGTTCTCGGACTACCGAGATCTACAAAGAAACTTCTCGGCCTACCGAGATTTCTAATATACGTCCAAATTATTTCTATCGATGTTTGAGGTAAATATTAACCCTACTGACCTCGGTAAATAATAACTAGCTACCGAAGACATGAATAAATAAAGACATGGTAAGAAAAAAATTACCAGGGTCTGAGGACTTTCGAATGCTGACGTCGAGCTTGAAAAATTGATGCAATCCCAAGAGCTTGATTCTCTCCCTTTCTCTCTCTCTATATATATCTCTCTCTAGAAAGTAACAACGTTATAAATGAGAAGAGAAATGAGAGTGAGGAATTTTATAGCAAGCAGCTGGACTGCCTGTCTGTACAACTGTACTGGAAAGTCACCAAATGAAGATATTAATCTGTAAATGTCTCATCGCTTATTTTCTGTACGCCTAAAAATTAATGCGTACATAAAATGGGGAGAAAGTGATAAGGGAAAAATATACATTTATTATACAACACGTGGCTCGAGAGAATAAAGACACGTATGATCCGAGGACCGTTAGAGTCCAGGATTAAGGCTGAAGCCCAACCTCAATTCAGGCCCAAGGTCCCAAAGAGCTTTACTCTGGTCCCAATGTCCTGAGGAGAATTACTATAGGCCCAAGGTCCAGAGGAGCTTTACTTTGGGCCCAAAGTCTGGTGTCAGCCCACGAAGCTTATGGGCCAGGGAGTCCTCCGCACATGAAGGGAGACCTAGGTCGTCTGACTCCTATAAAAGGACAACCTAGGTCAAGGTAAGGGATTATTCTGACCACTCCAAACTCCCTCTTCTATTCTTTCCGCAGCCACCACCTCAGAAAACCTAAATCCGATTCTAACTTAAGCATCAGAGGATCTACCCCTGGGCACAACCCCAGGGTTCTATTTTGCAAGTGTCGGAGCAAAGGAGATGAGTTCAAGAAGACGTCGGAGCATCAACCGTCGCTAGGTGTTCTCTGACTAACGTCAGGTAATTCTTGTATCATCAAGTCTAATTTTCATTGTAAGGGTTGCAAACTCGGGAACAGTTGCAACTCCCATATTCTACTAGTATTTCTCATTCAGCTAGGCCTTTTGATCTTATCCACTCTGATGTATGGGGTCCATCTCCTTTTCCTACAAAAAGTGGCAATAAATATTATGTTCTTTTTATTGATGATCATTCTCGTTATACTTGGATATATTTTATGAAACACCGTTCTTAGTTGTGTTCCATTTATAAGGATTTTGCTCGCATGGTACATACTCAGTTTTCTACTCCTATTCGAGTTTTTCGTTCTGATTCTGGTGGTGAGTATTTATCTGACAATTTTCGTCAGTTTTTGACCTATGAGGGTACTCTTGCCCAACTCTCCTGTCCTGGTGCACATGCTCAGAATGGTGTTGCTGAGAGAAAACACTGCCATCTTATTGAGACTGCTCGAACCCTTCTCATTGCCTCTTTTGTTTCTCATTTTTGGGGAGAAGCTGTGTCTACAGCTGTTTATCTCATTAACCGACAACCGTCATCTAAACTGTCTGGTAAGTGTCCTGGTGAGGTTCTTTTTGGCCATCCCCCTAGTTATGATCATCTTCGGGTCTTTTGATGTACATGTTATGTGTTACTTGCTCCTCGTGAGCGCACTAAATTGACTTCTCAGTCGGTTGAGTGTGTCTTTTTGGGGTATAGTCCTGAGCATAAGGGTTATCGATGTTATGATTCTTCTTCTCGTCGTATGCGTATATCTCGTGATGTAACCTTTGTCGAGGATCGTCATTTCTTTTATAACCGTTCCACACACCCCATATCTTCTTCTTCTTCTACAGAGTCTACGTTCTTCTTATGTCTTCCTCCTATTTCTTTTCTTGATGATGTCACCACCTCTCATGATGAGTCTCCACCACCCGTTGTTGATGAGCCTTCCTCATATAGACCACCTATCACACATGTTTATACTCGTCGTCCACTAGGTCATACAACGCTTCTGCCTCATTCTCCTGTCTCGGCCAGTCCTGACACTCCCATCCTAGACGACACTGTTGATTCTAATGTATCACACGATATTCATGGAGAGTTAATGGATCGTCCGAGATATAACTTACGTGATCGTGCTGCTATTGAGCCTCCT